CAATTTTTCCCTTTGATTTGGGAGCACCTGGCATAGGCATAGGAACACCTAGAGTAGTGTTAAGACTCATTTCGGACATGGACGAAGCCATAGAATCCATAGATGTTATTTTGTCCACAGGACTCATCAAAATAAGAGAAAAAGAAAGAAAATCAAAGCGAAAGAAAAGATCAAAGAGGAATGCTTAGCGTATATGTGGCCAAACATGTGGTTCTTCTACTTCGAGAGATTTCAAAGTTTCGAACCAAGGCAAAGTTTCGAAAGCGGAGGGGTTTTGGTCGTGTCGTGGCAAGAAAAAGAGGATATATGCGCCTGAAAACCGAGTAATCAGCGCGCTTTTCAAATTATGAGGACGTACCAATATTTTCTCGACTATAGCCGAAGGTGCAGAACGGAAAACCAGAACCCCTGTCTCGGTCACCACTGTGGAAGAACGTAAGTTCAAGGACAGGGAGGGGTCACTGGTCATCTGCCACAGAAAAATAAGGGGGATGAAGTACGAAAGGAATGGGGATCAAAGAAAAGAAGACTGAGCGCTTAGTGTGAGTGGCGTGTGAACGCACCCAATGTCTCCGTCTAATCTCTGTATAAACTTGTGCGCGTCTAGTGGACTATATGCGTCTTGAACATGTGTGAGAGCTATCAGCACAGACATTGTCGATATGAGTTGTCATCAAAAAGGACAGGACACGATGACAGTGAAAAAGTAAAGACTTGAAAACTTAAGAGTACTTGAGTATTGGATGGGGGGGGAAGAATCAATTTCAAAAGACGCGATGAACCTATATATACTTTACAAACGATCATGAGACCTACACACATTCTCTTGTGCAGTCTGATTAAAATAAACAGAAAACGTCTAAAAATAGAAAAATAACCAACAAGAAAAAGTGTCCAAAGAATAAAACGAATCCGACGTCGCTCCCTCCTCTCGCCGCGAGTCCTTCAAGCTAGGGATGACTCAGGGAACTTACAATGTAGGAAGAGGTCTATTTTTGTGCGCGACTGCCTGCCTCAGTGCGGACATTCCTAACATTGACGCTCGACCCTACCGTCTAGCCGTCAGAAAACACATTGAGCGAAAGGGTTCTGTCATAAGTAAAAAAAGAAAAGCGAAGAATAAAATAAAATAAAAGAAAAAAAATAAAGTTGAGCATACAAATACATAAGAAAACCTCAAGTCCTCTTCGAAGAAAGGTGTGTGTTGTTGAGCAACTAGCGAGTGTGTTTGACATCTTCTCCAAGCACCAGAAGTCGCTGTTCGGCTACATTCTTCTTGATCTGTAAGAAAATATGTGTTTCCTTCGCTTTGGACTTTCAGTAAAGAGCGGTTAAAATACAAAAGACAAAACAAGATATAAAAATTATGAGACAGAAACGAAAACTCAAAATACAGAAGGCGTCGTGAATGGAACATGACGCACTTCCACACAGGTAGGAGCATTCGTCAACAAAGGAGGGAGGGAGCCATCTGTTGAGGCAGGGGCATTGTTCTTCAAGTGAGGGACGCTGATCGTTGATGAGTGAGGGAGGGATGCCATTCGTCAACAAGGGAGGGAGGATGCCGTTCATGGAGGGAGGGAGCCGTTCTTCAAGCGAGGG